TTTTTTTTTTTTTTTTTTTTTAAAAAAAAAAAAAGACACCGTCACACGAGACTTCACGAATGCCGATCTCGAAATGGACAAAAATCGCGCACGCAACCAGAAAAGACTCCAAAAAATTATAACCCTAAACCAATTAAGACCAAACAATCAATCAGCTCATAGCCAATGAATGACAGAATTGGACATCCAATAAATGCTTCACCGATGTAATCGACGAGCAATTCAATCCAACAGATGATGATTAGTCTCTCCGTGAAGACAATCATCATATCATTAAGTTCCTTACACCGATTCGTGTGCCTTAACGAAGTAATCAACGAGTAATTCAATCCAACAGATGATGATTAATCTCTCGGTGAAGACAATCATATCATCATATGATTAAGTAACTTCAAGTCCACTTAACCGACAGATGATGACTAATCTCTCGTAGATTTGCTGGTGAGGGGACCTAGTCGCATGCACAACTCGATATCCGCCAGAATTTCGAATGCATCTGGACAGCGCCGCTGTCCGGATGCATTCAAAATGTTGAGGGATGGATGGTGAACGGTGCAACTAGATTCCCTTGTGTGTGAGTCGTTTCATGTGACTAGTCGTTTAGTGATTAAACTCAAAAAAGTAATCATCGTTTAGTGATTAAACCCAAACCAAGAATGACGCCACACATGCGAGTAATGACAGACAGATAAAGAGTTCGAATCCCGATCCATGGATGCAATCAGTCAGAAAAGGTCAGTGAAAAATCAACAGAAAGATAAAAATTTTCAACTGTTTTCAGTTGGTGTCGGGGGAAGGACACAGCCTTCTGGGCATACTCACAAAAGGGATGACCGCGTGAAGGACACAGCCCTCTACGATTTTTCTACAGCAGGAAAATCTCTCTGATCCGAGACCAATCAGCCTACCTTCTTCACCCGAATACAACGAACGGTCATTATAGCTGTATCTGGACTGAAAGATGCCTCAAATACATCTATAATGACCATACGTTGTATTCGGAGGAAGATAGTAGCTCAGTTGGTACACCCATGAACTGTTGAAATACGGACCCGAGTTCGAATCCAGATGAAAGAAATAAAATAAATAAATCTGAATTACATACATGGGGCCATTTAGTTCAACAACGACAATCCAAAGCTGTCACCCGTTTGGAAAAAAAAAAAAAAAAAAAAAAAAAAATCTTACTCTCAGAGAGCACTGCGTGTTGCACACATGGAGACCTCTGAAGTTTTTTCGTTATTTACCGCACACGATTTTCAGTATTTTTTTTTTTTTGCTTTTCATGAGTTTCAGTAAGTTCGAATTCAGCTGCCGTCGAAGTCAAGACCGTTTTACAATCCCCAAAAAAATCAAAACAAAACAAAAAGGACCGTTTTACAAACATAGCATCTGATATTGGGCCGCCTCGCTCCTTTTCTCACCAGATGCACAACATACAAATATGGCAGTGTATCTTTCCATATTCTAACGCAAGATTGTGGAGCGAGGCCCATTGTCGATAGCGAATCTTTCGAATGCCGACAGGGGAACAAGTTGAGGAGCACATACAGACAAACTGCCCGCGGAGAGAAACAAAGAGAGAGAGAGAGAGAGAGAGAGAGAGAGAGAGAGAGAGAGAGAGAGAGAGAGAGAGAGAATATGAGGCTGATCAGTGTGCGTGCGCGATGATGAATGCGTGCACTTGTGAGAGAGAGGTAGACAGACTCCTACGCTATCATCTTCATCACCCGAATAAAAGGGCAGGCCATTATGACTGTATTTGGGGCACCTTTCAGTCTAGATGCAGCGATAATGACGGGGCGTTCTATGGAGGTGAAGACCGTATTCACTGTGTGACACAAAAGGTCACACAAAGAGACAGAGAGAGACTCCGATGATGCGCACAGAGAGAAAGAAAGAGCCTTGTGGCTGATCAACGGCTCACACCGTCACAGAGCAAGAAGGGGGTTTGACGCCGCAGTGGAACCGGAATACCGGCCGTGCTGTTTGATTACAGAGAGGACTGACGTCAGTCCAGGCAAGAGAGGCCATCGAATTTCTCGCTCAATTTTTTGAGATGGTTTACAGAAAATCAATACATTGCACGTGGTCTCCTGAAAAAAACGAGGGCTCTTCTTATCAATCGACCGCAAGATCGCGATGATACTACAGCAAGAGCATCGCCACGAAACGACTGAAGTATCGTCAATTGCACGCAAGATCACTCCTATCTGTTGGTTGTTGCGGATAGTAATCCCATTGAAAAAGAAGACAAAAAAAACATTGAGCAATCTCAAGGGTAATATCACGACAAGTGGGTGATATCATGAATAGTAGCATGGGACCATGAGTAAAAAGCATGCGTGATATCACGGACAATACCAAACGGAGTTTTCATCGGTGATATCATGGGTAATGTCATCGACAAAATCATGGGTAAGACTACTTTTGAGTGCTTAACTTGGCCGTTCCTTGGCGCAATTTCGGAGTTTCATGAACCGAGATCGTTATGGGTAATATAACAAGTAATATCATGGGTATCATCAGTAGCATCATAATATATTATGGGTATCATCAGTAGTATCATAATATATCATGGGTAATACATAATATCGTCCGTAATATCATGAGTAATATCACGATCACGATCATGGCTAAAAGAATGAGTTGATGACTACCTTATGTCATGCGTATCACCGTATGACCGTATCATGAAGAATAATACAAGGATTCGGGGGTAATATCACGGGAAATATCACAATAAAGGGTAGATATGGTGGGTAATATCACCACACTGGTTGCAATAGCAGCAGAAGTTGCTGAGGTAGAAGGGGACAAGAAAAGAAAAAAAGTCCAAGCACAGGTAGGAGTGGGTGTAGCAATATTTATTACCCCTCTGAAGAAATACTGAAAAAAAAGCTAAAAAGTGGGGAGCTGGCAAATGTGTCCAAGGTGAAAGACTTGGTTTTTCTGAGCAGGGAGGGCGAGTGTAGTAATTTAATAACGACGTGCACCATTCGTTTCTCCGTTTCCATTTGGTCGGAGGGATGCGCAGGCCGCATCGTAAAAAACAAAACAACAAACAAAACGAGAAAAACGCCGTCTCAGGTACCATCCACACCCGTCTTCACCCGAACACAACGCGCGAACACAGCCCGAATACAGATTCAAAACGACGCTGTCAGACATATTTCATAGACATATATTACATATATATCGTCACAAGGATATAAGAGCGCAAAAGCGAAAAAAAAAACAGAAAACAAGAAAACAAAAAAAACGTTCTTTTATCTGCCTTACAACTCCCCCTATTCTGAACCTCTTGTCTACAAGGCCGGCAACAAGATCCTAGATGACAAGTCCCACATGCAAGCACCGCCCCCTCCATCACAGGCCATATATATAGGTACAAAAAGACACTGTCAGATATTCACATATATTCAAAAAGACACTGTCAGATATTCACAGATATTCAAAAAGACATTGTCAAACATATATTGTCACAAGAGTATCAGAGCGCAAATGCGAACAAAAAGAACAAAAAGGATAAGAAAGAAAAACAAGAAAAAATGAACTCAGTTTTTTTTCTTCTTCCTTGTAAAAGACACTGTCAAACATACATATTCGAAAAGACAGTCTTTCTAGAACGACAGCTCCAATACAACCTCTGCAACAACCTACACTTCGATTAAAAGGGGAAATACAGGATAACGCATCCAAATGTGGAAGAACCTTGGGGAAAAAAAACGTCCAAATAGTGTGAACAAAAAGAGTCTGAACAAACCCTGAAAGTCGCCACGTACCCGTCTTTCCCGCCGAATAGAAGGAACGGTTATTACGGCTGTATCTAGACTGGAACTGGCGACGAATGCACAGCTATAATGTCCGTACATTCCATTCGGGAGAAGAGTCGGAAGACCGGTACTTGTACGACCATTCTTGCTTTTCAAAATACCGGCGAGACAGATCTAGAACTTCGGACTTCAGTCAAAACGAAAAAAAACAAAAAAATACGGTCAAAAAATTAAAAAGGAAAAGGACTTCAGACAATCAACAGCACATGTAAGCGGAACTTCACAAACCAACTCCCCAGTCTGCTCTCATACACGCCATCATTTTATTAACCACCTCCCCTCGATCGATTTTCCAACAAATTGAAAAATGCAAACGGACAAAAGATCTCTCTCAATTGAAGCCGAAGGGCAGCGATCGACAAATTGCTGCGCCAAGCAAGAAAAGAAAAAAAACATCACAAATAGACTTGCATCTACTCTCCTTTCGTGCAAAACTCGCATCACGTTCCTGCTCCACTTACTATGCCACACTCATTCAAGGGTGAAGAGGTACTCTCCCTTTCTGCGAAACTCGCATGACTAATGCCGACGTAGTACGCGGTTGAGATGCTTATACGAGAAAGTACCCAACTACTGCTGACTTACGCGTAACTAGTACTTGTAGTCCTTAACGTGCAGACTCTCTGACGCCCCCTCGATCGCGGGAGCGCCACTGTATTTGCCGAGCGTCGCCTCCCCGTTGCCCTTGGCGCGCACAAAGAACGCCTTCTGGGCCGCCGCAACGTTCTCCACCTTGCCTCCCCACGCCTTCAGCGTGCTCGCCTGCAGCGCCCTCCCGTACGAGAAGGACAGCGTCCATGGCTTCGTCGCTTCCAAGGCGTTCATCGCATTCAGATTCAGGGTCGCCTCCTCCTCGCTCTGCCCGCCCGACAGAAACATGATCCCGGGAACGGCCGCGGGAACCGTCCTCTGCAACGTCCTCACCGTGTACTTGCCCACGACCTCCGGCGCCACCTTCGCAGCGTCCGATCCCGGCGTCACCATGTTCGGCTTCAGGAGCGTGCCCTCCAGCAGTACGTGGTGGTCGCTCAGAGCCTTGTACACCGCGGCCAGGACCTTCTCCGTCACAGCGGCGCTYTTCTCGATGTCGTGCGTGCCGTCGATCAGGATCTCCGGCTCCACGATCGGCACCAGCCCGTTCTCCTGGCAGATGGACGCGTACCTGGCCAGCCCATCAGCGTTGGACTGGATTGCCAGAGGCGTAGGGCATCCGTCTGCGCTGATCTTCAGGACGGCGCGCCACTTGGCGAACCGCGCGCCCGCCTKGTAGTACTTGGCACACCTGGCGCCCAATCCGTCGTGGCCTTGCGTCGTGGTCTCGCCCTTCGTGCCTGCCAGGGCCGCAACGCCGGTGTCAACCTTGATGCCGGGCACCACATCGGCCTCCTTGAGGAGATCGACGAAAGGCTTCCCGTCTGCCGTCTTCTGGTAGAGCGTCTCCTCGAACAGAATGACGCCGCTGATGTACTGCATCGCCCCGGGAGCGGTGAAGAGAAGCTCCCTCAGAGCCCTCCTGTTGGATTCCACATTCTCCACGTTGATGCTGGCCAGTCTCTTCCCGATGGTGCCCGTGCTCTCGTCAGCGGCGAGGATACCCCTCCCAGGGGTCGCAATTTTCTTGGCCGTGGCGATGAGCTCGTCCGCGTACTTGCCAACGTGCGCCATGATCGTTAGGTCKACTCCGAGCTCCTGCGCACTCGTCTTCTCCCACGGCCGGTGATCGTTGTCTTGATCCGGTCAGGGAGACAAATCGACTGCGTCGCCTTCAGCTGCTGCGGCAAAAGTTTCTGTTCGGTCTGCTACGTAGGAGGCAACGACGAAGATTGCTATTTAATGGTGGTGCGCATCGTCACACTGACTCGCAGGCGGCCACGTCTCGGGGGTTCTGACTGATTGATTGCGACGAGGGAGTCAATTATGCTCAGGGCACGCTCACACTAGGTACCCAAATTCCCAAAAAAATGGGAAAATGGGAACGGCCGTTTTGAGGAAATGTGGCCCTGGCCGGTCACACTGTGTTCCCAATACGCTAACGACAAGGTCGCGACATCGCTCTCTGCGAGGTGCTTGTGGAGTGCGCCGGTCACACGGTGGTACCTCAAATGGGAAATGCAATTGTTCAGTTTTTAAAATCTGTTTTTTCCTTCTTTTTTTTTTGGGTCGTTACTGCTGGCAACGGGTGTCCATACGAACCTCTCTGCTCGCGCTCCGCGCGTCTGACCGCTCCGTGCGTGCACCCATTTCCCCAAATTTCCTTTTCTTCAATTGATAGGCCGCTAATATCGTGGGGTTCCATTTTTTCTCCAATTTTTCACGGTAATTCGGAAAAAGATTTGAGAAATTGCGGTAACCTCCGGAGGTCACCGCAAATTTCCTTCCCCCGCGGCTTCGCAGGCCGCTGACAAATGGTCACCCCTTTTGAGAATTTGGGCAGATGTTCACCATGTGTGACTGTCCGGGAACCCTTTTTTTGGGGGAAAATGGGGATTCGGTACCTAGTGTGAGCGTGCCCTCAGACCGGGTGATTGATGAGGCCAGCACAGCACTCCCAGCACCGTCACGCCTCCGGGTTTAGGTCCCACTAGCACAGAGGATTGGATTTAAAACCTGAATCTGGACGCCCTTGTGGAGAGGTGCAGAAAGTCGCGATCGATCGGCTTTTCAGTACCGTTGCAGAAAACACATCCAGGTTCAGGCGTTTTTTCCAATCCTCTTTGCTAGTGGAAGCTCGCCCCCGGTTGGACGGGGCTCAGAGGGCAAACTCACACGAGCACTTTCCAGAATGTACGTGACGGCAATTACGATGGCGAGTTGGAGAAGAACTTGTGTATGGGCTTCCCTCCACTATACACTCCAATTGTGCAAAATGAGAGCGAATCTTCCGTTCGAACATGGAGAGAGACATCGCCATGATTTTTGGCGTTTCTGCAGGTCCTGACTGATTGATTGAAACGGCAGTCAAAAATAAAAACAATAAAAAATTAAAAAAACAAATAAAAATATCAAAAATATAAAGAATAAAATGGTTGAGCTCTGGCCCGAGGTCCCACTAGCAGCGGGATAGGATAGAAACGAGTTTGTGGGGCAGTTGAGTGACCCCAATCCTGCCGTGCAGTAGTCGTGATCCCACGGTCAGTGTTTTACTTGTATTACCCGAAAAAATTAGGAGATCTTCGTTCCCCTCCTCCTCTCCTTAACACTGGGCATGCCCGTGCAAAGAAAGCTTCCCGCCAGAATCTTTTCTATCGGTTGGGGGTAAGGCCAACCCCAAAGGAGGGTGGGATCGGCCTTAGCCCACTGGATAGAAGATTTTCAGTATTTTACTTGCTGTTGCGCAATTATCTCATTGGGTGGAGCGCTCCTTCAATCACGGAGTATATGGAGGGTGTCAGGATCATTGCGGACAGAAGTCAAGTTTATTCCAGCAAATGCAGCGGTTACTTTGTTTACTGCTGATGCAACCACCACCATCAGATCATTTGTGATCTGATGGCTGGGAAGCACTCTGCCGTGATTTTCGGTGGGAGGTCTCTATTTCTTTTTTTTTTTTTTGCGTTTCTCCTGTTTTCTCAGCCCAGAAATTCGTAATGAACCTGTCGGGCCGCTGCCACTCAGTGTCACACTGGATCGGCCACACTCCTATCCGACTGCTAATGGGACCTCGCCCCTGGAGAAGTACTCAATTAGGATGCATTTGATGAGGGAAAGAGATCTTGGTCGGAGGTACAACTTTGATCTCAGAATAGAGTAGGACGGTACGGGGCCGGATTTAGGCCCCTGTAAGAGAAGCCGGGTTGAACTCCCAGATTGGACGGAGAGTAATGGGTAATGCGAATAAGGTACTCAGAGTAGATTCCAAGGTTAGGAGTTATTTGCTTCGGAAGATATATGGAGAAGGGACACTGGAGCCGGTTTCCAGAAGCCTATAGCTGGGTAATGGCCCGAGTATGTTATATACCGGGTTGAATTGTAAAAAAAAAAAAAAAAAAAAAAAAAAAAACTAGAAAAAGAAACGGTAGCTGATAGCAAGGGTAGTCCTCGGGCCAGCATAGACAGACGTGGACCATGGACCGTCCTTTGTTGGCAAATTGCATCCATCGATTCTGTGCTATTATTTTGTTTTAGGGAAACTTTGTCTGGCCCCCTGTAATTTTCATTATTTTGCGTCTCGCCCCTCAGACGGCCCATTTACCCTGTCGTGCCCCCCTTACAACGTTCCAAATATCCCATAAAACCCCGGCGTCGGCTGACCATGAAAATTTTTTGTTATGCCCCTACCGCTACCCGTTCCAAATTAGCAGTATGCCCCAACGAGATAGCCATTGAGTACCAGCACCAAAAGTTCACATATGCCCATACGGGTAGGGTGCATGTTTTCAGAGCACCTCTATGGCTACGCGCATTGTGGCCACTTCAATTCTCTCTCTCTCTCTCTCTCTCTCTCTCTCTCTCTCTCTCTCTCTCTCTCTCTCTCTCTCTCTCTCTCTCTCTCTCTCTCACACNCTCTCTCTCTCTCTCTCTCTCTCTCTCTCTCTCTCTCTCTCTCTCTCTCTCTCTCTCTCTCACACACACACACACACACACACACACACACAGACGCACACGCAGATGCACACAGGGTCATTTTTTGCGGCAGCGCCACTTCAAATCCGAATTTCGGGCACGAGGGCATGATGGAAAGATATATGCATACAGCACAGATATATGCATGCAGCACAGGGACCGGTGAAATGAGACTGGCCGTCCAGTAAGGGCACCACGGAAAGTTGCACCGCTTGCTGACAGGGGCGTGCAGGAAAGTTCAGAGGCCCCAGGGGCTCGACAGGATAAGTGGGCTGTCAGAGGAGCATGACGCAAAATGATAGAAATTACAGGGGTGCCAGACAAAATTTCCCTTCTTTTTTTTCTTCTTCTCTTTTCTTCTTTTTTATTTTGGAAAACGGCCTTGCCTTGTGCCAGCGGCTCTACGGGGCCCTCCGACGTGGATGACTAGACTGCGGTTACAAAGGGCCTCGCCACACCACTCCCGACTTTGGAAAAATTTCGGGAGTGCTCCCGGAAGTGAAAACCCGCTCCAGAGTGCCTTTTGACACACTACACTCTAATTCTGAAAATGTCAGTTGCCACACGTGGACAGTATCAGTGTGAAGCAGTCTGGCAGAAGTCTGTTTGTCCCTTCCAGCTCCACTCCTGAATCTGGGATGAAACTCGGAGGAGTGAAGGAGGTCTCTGGAAAAGGCAGTGAGTTCGGGAGTGCTCTGAGGAGCTGTCCCATTCTGACAGCTCCCGAATTCAATCTGACAGGTTGAACTTGGGAGCTGGTGTGGCGATGCTGCATTCCCAAAAATGGCCAAGTCGGGAGTAGTGTGGCAGGGCCCAAACTCCGCCCTGCGACTTTTCTGCAAGGAGGAGTTTGGACTGCATTGTAAACTTCAGACGGGGCTGGACTCCAAAACGGCAGTTTGAAGTGTATTTTCAGAAACTCAAACCATGACTGCGCCCTATTTTTCTCTTTTTTTTTTCTCCGTTTTTCTTTTCTTGTCGACACGAAACAAAGAAACAAAAAACAAAAAACAAGTGGAAAACATGTGCATGAGTCAAGCATCCCAAAAAAAATGCAAAAAAAAATTTCAGTCATTTCCTTTTTTTTTCTTTCTTTCTTCAAGTTTCTTGTTTTCGTTCTCTGGGGCTCGGATCCACTAGCCATGTAGCGGACCTCTGGTTGGCCTGTGAGACCAGCCCCTTGGCCTGTTCTCACAGGCCTGTGTTCTATTTGGGGCAGTCCAGTCCAGGCCGGTACCTCTGTCGGTMCCAGCCAGTCCAGTCCAGTCCCGTCAGTCCGCTGGGTTATACCCCAGCCGTTGTCTGTTTTCGACCTCATTCTACTTTCGCACAGGTTGGATTACGTGCGTTGGAGTCTGGCGTGGGAGCTGCGTTGTGCCATCTCGCTCCCCTTCTTCCTCCATCTCCATCTCTATCCCTGGCGGAGCACCACACCTGGTGGGTCCGCCACATTGGTATCGGAGCGGGAACGTTCCCCGCTCCCACCCACCACCCTGTATAACTGGAAAAACAGCAAAACCTGACAGGCGGGTTTTTGGCTGTTTCCATGCCGTTTTTCGACGAAAACGAGGGGAAAAAAAAACCGCAGCAAAAAGTGACATGAGGCGAAAAAAGCACGTGCGGGCAAGCACCAAGGCCAAGGCCGCCGCATGCGCGTTGTCGTGGCAAACACCCTTACAAGGGTATTTGCCGTTGTTTTGAAAGGTCGCGCTGGGTCCGACCTTGGCCACAGAAACTCGCCGATAGGACGAGTTCTGACGGTACTCACGTCTTAGTAATTTGTTGAAGGCGATTTGATTAAGCTAAGTATGCTGAGGTAAGAGAGTGTGTGGGCATACTCTTTTGAGTATGCGATTGTCATAATTAGCGATTGCGGACGGATTGACGGCCGACACAGAAACCGGCCCCTTTGGGCAAAGATACAAGGCATCGGGGGATTAAACTTTGATAAGCAAGTGTCATATGCGTCTTATGTGCGGGCGCAATAGTTAATTTTGTAAGCAAGACTGGTTGTTTTGTTACCAGTACTGAGAAAAGTCAGTTGAACTTCGTTGTCAAATCGATGGAGGATCGGTGTAAAGTAGTGCCCGCAACGGCAACAAGTATTAGAAGTAAGGGCCTTAGTACTACCGAGGCAGCTCATTGGGCCATCACTAGTAGGGGCTCCGCATACCGAGTGCGAAGATTGCGGCCCTGGGGCAAGCGGCGCGACCGAGCAGGGGGAGGGCCTACTTGAATATGTATGGTAGGCCTACCTGGTGGCTGATACTACTTGAATGAAGTT